TGGGTGGTCTGCCTGTGTGGTACTTGGTTCAGTAAGCCCCATTTACTGAACCAAGTGGGAATTAGCCAGGCAGGCACAAAGGGTTTGCAGCAGGTCTGGGGACACAGGGGACACCGTCTTAAAGGGGCCGTGTCCCCAACAAGTCTGGGGACACGGCCTTAAAGGGGCAGTGTCCCAATCTTCCTGATGTCCCAAAAAAGGTGTTTAAAGGCCAGCACCAGTCACATAAAGAGTCCATAAGCCCCAATATGCCCACCGACAGTCTTAAAGGGCCATACACACCAAATAAAAATGCATACATTTTCACAATCTCCCAGGGGCCATAGTCATGCGGGAGGAGGCTGGCAAATGGGCTTCTCCACAACCCAGGGAAGCAGGGCAATTTGCCATTTAAAGGGCCCGTTACAAATAGCAGTTTGTAACAAGGTATCAATCCATATCTGCCAAGTGACCCTATGTAGGGGGACCAGTCTCTATTCTGCTCTGTGTCCGTGTGCATCAGGGGCTCTGAGGACAGGTGTCAATCCATATGTCATATGTCAGGTGTCAATCCATATTCATTGTGATTTAGGAATGTTAGGTGATTTCTGCCCTTTATGGATTAAAACCAGACTCTGTATCAACTGTGTAATTTTCCATGGGAGTTTTGCCATGGATTCCCCTCCGGCATGCCACAGTCCAGGTGTTAGTCCCCTTGAAACAACTTTTCCTTCACTATTGTGGCCAGAAAGAGTCCCTGTGTGTTTTAAAATTCGCCTGCCCATTGAAGTCTATGGCGGTTCGCGAACATTTGCGGAAGTTCGCGAACCGAAAATTTCGGGTTCGCGACATCACTAATCTTTGAGTCTAATTTATTTAATTGAATGAGATCCTTCATAAGATAGAAATAAATGGTGGTATAAAAAGTGAAAACACATTAATCTAATTAATTATAATAAGGCAGTGGTTTAAAACATAAATCCAAAAGCCCTCTTGTACCAAAAGCACTGTGTGAGCTGGCAATATATCTTGCATTCTGTGTTTATAAGAGGCATTATTCTCGTGCAGGTATCTGAATGTCTGCAGTAGGATAGCTGCATATCTTTTTTTTACTAATGACACCGGCGCTGTTTTTACTTCCTGCTTTTTTACATTCAGAGCCACTCAGAATGTTCTGTTCTGCATCTCTGCCGCTCTCCAAATTTGTCAGGCAGATTGCCAGTGGAAGATACACGTCTCATTGTATTTTGCTCGTCTGCTTAATTTGCTTTCTCTCTCTTCGCACCGGAGATAGTGTGTGTTCATAAACCTAAAGGTTTTTACTGATCAAGACAGTTTAGTTTCTTTTCTATGACAAAGTCGATGCAGAATATTGCTAGAAGACTACAGCCAAAGACACTTTAAATGAAGCACTCATTCCTTTTCATTATTTTTTTGTTCTTTCCTTTATATCCTAAATTGAAGGCAAAGTCTATCTTCTCACTTTAGTGAAAATCAGTTTTCGGATTCTTTTCCATAACTATTAGACAATATGAAAGTCCTTAAAGGATCTGTCTTACGCTCACTGTATGGTATGGTTATTGTACAAAGAATGTCCTGGTGTCATCACAGGCTCTTACCTGGATACATCAAGCACCTATTGTCAAAGGCGTGCACACGGAGTGTGCTGGGTGTGCCTGGGCACACCCTAATCCCCGCGGCACGCCTGTGAGTCCTGCAGGAACACCGTTCCCACTGTTCCTGCAGGCACTCTGCCGCCCCTAAAGGCCCTCCTCCCCCCGTGTTCCCCCTATCATGGGGGGGAGCAAGAGGTGATGGACACCCCCCCCCAGTCGGGCACCAATCTCCATATCACAAGCGGCGAGGGAGCTGTGTCCTCTCTGCTCCCTCTCGCCGTGCGCCGTTTGCTGATGCCGGGAGCCAGAGAGGACACAGCTCCCTCGCCTCTTGTGATATGGAGATTGGCACCCGACTCACTGGACCCCAGGGACAAGTCCACGCCAGCTCTCCAGGTAGGGAGGCTGGGTGGACAATTTTTAATTAGAAAAAAATAATTTGTGTGTCTGTCAGTGTCTGAGTGTATGTGTGTCTGTCTGTATGTGTATATATAAAAATAAAATACACACACACACACACACTTTGTTTTTTTGGGGTGGGAATCTTGGGAGAGTTCCCACACTTTATTCCCCAGGACTTGACCCCTGCCGGCAGTGCTGGCTCTGCTCTAAGCCTCCATGGGCTGGCGGGGAGATCAAAGATCTACCTCACCAGCCCACAGCAGCATGGAGGGAGGCAGGAGAGGACCCGGGGAGCTCTAGAAAGAAGCTCCGCCAGGTTCCTCTGGCGAGATCTGAGCGTTGCCGTGGCAATGCTCAGAACTTGCGAGAGTGAACTCTAGCCGTGCAGGCTAGAGTTCACTCTCCCTTGGACCACTAGGGATGGCACATGGCGGCAAGGATCCCCCCCTCCCTACATAAAGGTAAGAAGAGAGGAGGGTTATACACACACACACACACACCCCCTAATGCAATAGGCTGCGCGCGCCTATGCCTATAGTCTGACCCTTTCTTCAAATACAACAGCAAACGTTCTCCTTATGCACTAGATATTCATTTTGTCCCTATTTAGAATTCAGCAGAGTAAACTCATTGTACATTGTGCCCATCATATATTGTCTTAGAAGGAAGTTTGTTGGAACTCCTTGGTGAGGCTGTTTCTATAATTCTCACACCGGTTAAGTATTATCTTTTTGGTGGAGGGATGTATCTCTATACTACTCTTTTTTGAGACGTTAGATTAGCTGAGTGGGGATGCCAAGACAAAATGATTTCCTGGGGAAAAGGTCATTTGTTTTGAGCAAGGTTGTCCAAAGTTAGACCCTTAGCTACTATAGAAGTAACAGCTAGGACACCCTTGTTTTAGGATGTGTTTTTGATTCTGTATTTCCCATGTACCAGAGATATTCTCACACCCTGGCCTAGATAAGTCTGATGTGCCCTCTAGTGAATTTGATATACCCACCAGTTGCTCTGATGCCCACATGCAGGGCTAGATTAAGAGCCAATTATGATGGGCCTAATCACAGAATCTTATTGACAGAAAACACTAAAACAGTTATTAAATTAAATGAGCTAGAGATTATATATTTATTATAAAATAAATACATTAAAAAAGAAATGTGTAAATTCGTTGTAACTTTTAAATTAATATATTGATATAAAAATACAGAACGAAAAATATATATACACACACACAGATTTTTAAAAATTACATACATACAATAATTCTACATATATATTTACGTAATAATTTTACATAATTAGGTAATTTTATTAATTACAATTAGCAGGACCAGCCTGAAACCCCAGGCCAAAAGTCCAGTGAATTTAATTTGCTAGCACTATATTTAACCCTGTAACTTTCCAAGACACCATAAAACCTGTACATGGGGGAGTACTGTTTTACTCGGAAGACTTCGCTGAACACAAATATTAGTGTTTAAAAACAGTAACATGTATTACAACGATATGGATAGTGAAAGTGACATTTCTTGCATTTTTCACACCCAAATGGCACTTACATGGACAATATAATTGTTGTGATATATTTTACCATTTTGAAACACTAATATTTGTGTTCAACGAAGTCTCCCTAGTATAACAGTACACCTCATGTACAGGTTTTATGGTGTTTTCAAAAGGTAGAGAGTCAAATATAAGGCTTGCGTTTCAGTTTTTTCACATTGAAATTCGCCAGATTGGTTATGTTGCCTTTGAGACTGTACGGTAGCCCAGGAATGAGAATTACCCCCATGATGGCATACCATTTGCAAAATTAGACAACCCAAGGTATTGCAAATGGGGTATGTCCAGCCTTTTTTAGTAGCTACTTAGTCACAAACACTGGCCAAAAGTGACGTTCAAATTAGTTTTTTCCATTTTCAAATATTAACACTAATTTTGGCCAGTGGCTACTAAAAAAGACTGAACATAACCAATTTGCTATACCTTGGGTTGTTTACTTTTGCAAATGGTATGCCATTATGGGGGTAATTCTCATTCCTGGGCTACCACACCGTCTCAAAGGCAACGTAACCAATCTGGCAAATTTCAATGTGAAAAAACTGAAAAATATAACAGGCTATATTTGACCCTGTAACTTCCCAAAACACCATAAAACCTGTACATACAGGGTATTGTTTTACACATGACACATCGCTGAATACAAATATGTGTATTTTATTGGAGTAAAGTCAAGCAGTATTATGTCACAGTTAGAATGTCATGTAGAACTAAACATTTTTTTTAAAATTCTTATTTTCTCCCATTTAATATTTTATTCATATTAAGTTGTTTTATTACCTACATATTTGATGTTAAATGAAAGCCCTGTTTCCCCTGAATAAAATGATATATAATAAGTGTGGGTGCACTGATAAAAACTTTTAGGAAAACTGGACCTTGGGAGGCAAATTGGGAAGGTCCTTATAACATAACAGATACAATGGGTCAAACAATGGTACAAGTGCAAAGACCTCTTGATGGTTCACGGAATAAACGGAGGCAAAATTGTTTTTGGGTTCATGCAGATCAGTGCAAATTGTATAAACCTACAACATAATTTCGTAATATATTGATACTGCTTTGTTTTTCTTAGTTTATTTTAGATAATTTGTAAGCAGACCTACAGGCGAAAGTTGGCCGGTGACAGACGATGTGTTCGCAAAGACAACCGTGTAGCAGAAAGAAGGTGTTCGTCAGCATCCTGCTAACTTTGATGACTACAGTTCTTGTAATAGTTATTTTTAAGATGAACAAAACAACTTTCAATCAGGAATTAAAGAATGACTTATTTGGAAATATTAGAAAAAAGAGAGACAATGAACAAGTATTAAAAGGTCATGTTTGTTTCGGGACAAAAGATGGCTATCTACAAGTATGCAATAAGCGAATTAATTTCACTGGAGATAGTGTTATTAATTTAAACATTACAATAGGTCCTAATGATTTATTTAGTTGGACCAAAGGTTCATTTGTACAAGACAATGTAAAAACGGGATCATGGGAACTTAACATATTACAAAATGCATATATCATGATTGTAGTTAATGGAGAGGAAATGGTAAATTGGTCAGGTGACATGTATGTGAACGTTGCACAAACTTCAGTGACAACGCGAGGACGAGGTGGTGAGGTACTTTATACAATTCAATACTGGCTTATACATTTAGAGCCAGAATTCCTCTTAAAAAACAATACTCCAGGTATACCTTGGATATGGGAAATACGAGCATCTAGGGAATCGTTGACAGTAAGAGTTAACATGATGTTTCTGGTAACTGATTATGTTATGCGAGATATTATAATGAAGCCTAGTCTTGTAGATATCAAGGAAGGAAAGGAAAGACTTAGATTAACATGTAGTACACATATAAGTTTACCCCCTGAGTCTGTAATGACATGGAAAAGGGAAGGAATGTTTTTGGGTAGTATGTCACATACAACGCCAAAGGTTATTCACAGAGGTGTACTAGGAAAGGTGGATTGGTCGGAAGAAATGTTTGTTTTCTATTTAGACAATCCTACCTACAGTGATAGTGGAAACTATCAATGTTGTTTAATGTTAAGAAATCATCATGAGAGATGTGGTGATGTTAAGGTAAATGTATTCTCTCCCAGAATGGTAGAATGCAAAAATAAGGTTTTTAAGTTATCAAGTCCCTTTCAATTGAATCATTTTCAATCAAAGCCTTTGTTATTAGATGGGAAATTTGCAACAATAGTTTGGCATTTTAATGTTTCACAGTGGAAAATCTCAAGTAAATTTCCACAATGTAAGGAACATTTATTAAATATGGAACGAGGCTTAGAACATTGGTTTGGAGGAAGTAAAGTATCAAACAGAAAAAAAAGAGATATAGTAGAAGGAATTATGGCTGGATTTGGTACTATAGGAAGTATCACCAATTCTATGGATATTCAAACATTAAAGAATGATTTGGGAACTGTAGGGTTAATAGGGGGAAAAGGATTGCATATTCAAAGAGGTTTAAATCAAATATTGAAAAATATGGTTATAAACACAGCCTCTGTTATTGCACCCTCTGTTCAACATTTACAGGAAGCTACTTTGGCATTAATGAGAAATGCAGATTCATCCCAGGTAGCCAAAGCTTGTTTAGAGATACAAGTTGAATATTCTACAGATTTTAAGGTGATGGTACAAGCATTACAAGGTGGTACTACTCCTATAGAACTCAAACGTAGTTTACCTGAGGAGTTTGCGTTTGCTAAAAATCATACAGATTTATGGGTTAACAAATGGTTGGGATGTAACAATGATATATGTATAAGTTCTTCTTTAATACCAATTTCTGGTATTGAAAAAACACTATTTTCAATGTCGGTATTAGGAATTCCTATTAGTAATACACAATTATTATTTTATAAATTACAATATCCTGATTTTGTATCTTATAATAACACTACTGAACTTGAGCAGGTAGATCTTTCTAGTTGTCTACATTTTCCATCCAAAATAATATGTTTAAATAACCAAGCTGAAACCATTTATCATTCATGTTTTCATAACCAAAGTTCATGTTCTGGTAAAATTAAAACAGTTAAAAATCCTCATGAAATTGTAACTCCCATAGAAAAAGACACAGTATGTGTACAGGTTATGTCAAATAATGAGTTAGTAAGAGCTACATTTTCAGAATGTACACATTCAGAAACATTACAGAAAGGGTTATATATTATATCAATGGGGGTCCACTAATAATACATATTCAAGGAACTCAAGTTAACATATCAAAGAGTCCTATACAAGATATAGATATCATGCCTATTCAATTTAATGTTTCACAAACAAATGAGTTTCCATGGAGAAAGTGGGCAGATGAGATTAGGAAAGACAAGATATTATTATATTCGTTACAAAAACAGTTGAAAGAAACAGAAATTCAATTTGAACATGAACAGGGTAAATTAAAGGTGATAGAACATGAATGGTCAATTGTTTCTAGTTCCTCTTGGTGGAATGACATAATTAAAAGCACAAACACACTTGCTAAATCATCTGTGGGATCAGCAATTGTAAATATTTTATTTCATCCATTTATTATTGTTGTATGTGTATCTATAATATGTATTGTTTTACAAGTAATTATGCAATGTAGAATTAGAAAACTGTATATACTCATAAATGAAAAGGTAAAACAGAAGGAGAATACACTAAAGGAAACTGTAAACAGGGTAATACACAATACTTCCAAGGAATCTCAAATACCGGGTAGCTATGAACACATCTCTTCTTATACCCAACGACTGTGATATGAAATGTGATACGAATGATGTATGAATGGACAGGTAAATAACATTATTATGGTTTATAAATAAACCATAAACAGAGGGAAATGTAGAATATTGCATATTCTGTATGTTCCTATTCAAATACATATTAAGGTGTGGCTGTCTTGGCTTGGCTCTTGGCTCTGTACAACGATGTAACTCTCCCATCAGAAGTACAGCAATTACCATCTGCTGTTGAATGTCCATTATCCTGTAACATCATATATTATGTTTTATTATGTATCCGTAACAAAGAATAAACCTGAAGAAACCGTAAGTCAGATTGCGTATTACTACTTTTCAATAATATAGACATATATTATTGTGGCGAGCATTTGGCCCAAGACTATATATACAAAAGACGTATATATTTCAATCAACTGAAGACAAGAAGAAATTAAGAAGAATTAACATTATCAACATTACCACCGTTCCAAATTAGATTTTACATGCACATAATATGAAAGAGGCGAATTACGCCTGACCAGACATAGCGCAAATGCCAGTTTTTGTTTATGTTTTGATCACAACGTGTACATTTGGCTCAGTCCCTAAGGGGTTAAGCAAGAGCATGTGAAGAGTGGTTTGTTAATCTTGCCCTGCCTACAGGAGACATTTTTTAGAAGTATATTCCTTAGTTTCAATAGAACCACAAACCCTAACGTGTCTTGGAAACCAATTCTTTATATTTCTATAGTGCCAACATTTTCAACAGCACTGAATGTATACATTGATCAAAAGATGTGAGCGTGTACATTTATTCAAAGTCTGAAAGTTGCGGAGCAGTCATAGAACATTCATTGAAGTAGTCTGAACCTGCTCCGTAAATATAAAAAAAAAAAAAAAAAAAGAGAAACTTACTTAATGGCACTCCACAAACAAAATAGTGCTTTTACTTTGTATATGTATGGCAGGAAGGCGTTTTACCTTCCTTTTTATTTATGCATAGTTTTTCTATTTTTATTTTTGCATTTTGTCTTTTCATAAAAACAGCCAGTTTAAAGAAAAAAAATAAAAGAATTGTTCCAAACACTCCATCCAGCTTTTCAAAATGAATCATTTTGCTTGGCAAATATTTTTAATACATTTTGTCCTTCACGTTCAACTGTCTCTTAGAAAGTAAAAATTATCTTAAAGTACTGCTTGCACTTGCTGAATGGAATCCATTGATAACAGGTTATCAATAAATATAAAAATATCTTACCGCAAACAAGTTTGTTTATTTTATATTTTTCTCTATATTCTTGACAACAAAAGTTGTTTTTGATGCATGTTCGGCTGACTGTCATTTGGCTTTTTAACAATGTTTGCAGAAGACTGCCTTATTCCAAAGGGAAAAAAAATAAATTATCCCCAAGAAACATTCTAAAGCTTTTAAAAAAAAAAAAAAAAAATATATATATATATATATATATATATATATTTTTAGCTTTTTGAATGGAAAAGTACAGAAACAAATAAGCCTAGATTCGTTCCCCCTCCCCTATTTTAACTTTTCAAATTCAGAGAATGAACAGCCAAAGCTGTAATTTGGAATTTCTGGACCATTACAGGTTTTAAGTGTCTGCCTCTTTGGAGGACTAAAAAAATAAGATATTTTTTGAACGTTTGGTATAGAATGCTAACATACGTATAAAAAAATAGGACACAAACAACACGGCTAGCATCCACAATAATCCCATTACCCCAATTCTGCAGTATATGTAGTGATGAGATTATTTTGGAGAGAAGCTGTGTAGAAATGCAGTAAGAATTTCTTGATAAAAGAATTTCTTAGAGTCGGATATCAGAGAACGCTGTTAAGATAATGGAATAGACTGTTTATTTTGCTGTTGGTCATAGCCAGAGGTTAAAGGGCACAATACTTTTATGATGTTATAAGTACATAGCTGTAGGTGGACAGGCAGGGATATGGAATGATAAAGTAATTTGACCATTATTACTTCCCAGTGAAGAGGTCAGACTGGAATTGGACCAACAATTCTACAAGTTTACCGTAATTTAATAACATGAACTCTACCACAATATGTAGTTATCACTAGCCTCTATATTGCAAAATATAGGGCTAATTCCTACATTTTCAATTTGGATGTTCAATAAAAACAGTTTGGGCACAAATTCAAAGATTAACCATGAATGTATAAATTAGCTTTGGGCAATGCAGGGTTTGTCAACAGGAAGTCTAAAATGTCTTTATAGTGTAAAATTAAAAAGAGAAGCACGGGTTCTTTAAACTCCTTAACAAAGAACGTTGAGTAAGGGTTAACATCTTAACAGTGCCTCCATTTTCTAGTATGTCAGGTTTATTTGGGAGGTTACAAGGCCATTATATTACATGCCCATTTCAAAGTTGGAAATCTGACACTTTTCTGAGCCTATTTTGAGAAAGTGTGGTAGACTGAGTGATAACATTTCCCTTATAATGGCATGACATTTTCAAAACTAGGCAACCATGCATATTCCAAATGGGGTATTTTGAGTTGTTTTGTGTAGTCATGTTATCATAAACTTACAGTGTCTGGGCTTAATTTAAACAGGGACAGGCCAAGGCTAGGGCATCCAGTTGTCAGTGTATTCCATCTTTATAACAAGCCAATAAATTGGTACTAGCAGCTGACAGTAATTTGAAGACTGAGGTCATAATCCAGAAATATACAGGAACTCAAGTGGCATACAGAGTAATTTGACTCTATAGTTACATATGCCAGGTGGAGCTGGGCAGGAATGGCAATAGTAACAAGAGCCCACTTTAACTCAATTTTGTTAATAAATTCGACACTCTCTCTGGGGATGATCCAAGAAGGAAAATACTTGCCAAAAAAATAAAAATAAAATAAACTCTGGACATCTTCTGATTTATATGTGGTAGGATTAAATGGCTGGTTAAACAAAATTAAAGTTTTAGTGTAAATTCTAGAAAAATGCATGGCTTCCTGTGCCTGCTT